CAAGATAGTTCACAATTACTAACCTTTATCAGGCTTAGAGAGTGGCCAGGCCGATATCTTTCAGACACCGCAATACTTGGCAAGAATGCAGGAATAAACTAATTGTCTCCTGCAAACACCCCTCTCCTTTCGCTCCTCTCTTATTCCCTATGGGAGGGGCCATTCACCATCTACCTGTGGCCTTACTTCTAAATTGACTCTTGTTCCTTAGCTGTTCCCTTCGTCTGGTAACTCTGTGCATCCACACACTGGGAACAGGCTCCAGCTGTTCATCTGCCTCACTGATGTCTGACTCCAAAGGCAGCTGATAACTGTCAGACGGCCCTGGCCACATCTCTGTCTCCGATGCACAGCCCTCATCAGAGCCTTCCCCAGACTCCAGGACTGGCCCATGTTCCTCCCCAACATCCTCACTGTCCAAATCTGCCGCCAGCTATGCTGGCGGGCCACAACACATAACTGGAAAGAACTGTAGGAAAAGAGCAGGCAAAGCCTGAGAACAAGTCAAGAGAGGACTCAGCCTAGAATCATTAAGTGTCTGCAAACATTCTAAGTCCAGTTCCTTCTACCCCTTGAATTCTGTTAGCACTTATCTGGTTCCAATTTAGTGTTGACTATTAGTTGACTAGATTCTTGTGTATTGGCTTGAGCAATACATCTTCTGAACTGACATGTGATCCTATTTTTCACACCTGATAGAAACCATTGAATACTATAATGGGTTTCTCTAGAATAACATTCCATTTTTAACCTAATTGGGGCAATCTCTGTCTTTAGGTTGTTTTGGCTTTGCCCTATGATACTCCTATTCCTGGTTATATGAACAACACGGTTAATACAATGAGACTCTGGTCTGCTCGAGCGCCCAATGACTTTAATCTCCGTGACTGTAAGTGTTGTCAATGGTGGGATTATTTCTTCTTCATTCTTTGCTTTTGGAGGAATTGTTAGGAAAATTGTTCTCTCTCTCTGCGTAGGCAGACCTAGTTTTGCAAGGCACCAAGGCCCACTTTGATCACACTCCCAAAGTTTGAAGGTAGTTTCCCCTCTGGAAAACAATGATGGAGGAATGGAAGAGCTCATGTCTACATTTTTATAAAAACAAATACTTTAGATGATTGTTTTATATTTTGAAGGGATTTTCTTTGTGCTGTCATTATGGGCCCATCCATGGTGGCCTTCATTACAGATTGAACCTTGGCATTGATAGAACTGAAGATGATTATAGCCCATAATAATCTACCATAAAGAAATAGGGCTTTCTTTACCTAGTCACTGAAGTGTGTGGCTGCAGTTCCTAGTACAGGGGTGTCCAAACTTGAGAACTTTAAGACTTGTGGACTTCAACTCCCAGAAGTTGAAGTCCACAAGTCTTAAAGTTCCCAAGTTTGGACGCCCCTATCTTAGTGTGATCAGCAGTTCTCAAACCCAAATACAGATTGGAGAGTGTCCGGGATTTGGGGAAGGATATAACATTTTTCTAAACTGCTGATAGTTGTGAAAAACAGAATTCTGAGTTCCTCTTTGGCAAACAAGTGTAATGCCAGACTAATAATGGGGAAAGAGGTTTATTTTTCTCCCTCCTAATCCTCTTGTCAGTGTTTTTTCTTTTCCCAAGATGTGGCTATTTTCTGCCTTTAGCAATGTTGCTAAGAAAGTAATTATGAAACAATTAGATACATGGATGCATAGGAGAGAAGAAAACATCCCTGGAACCAGGGATAGGAAACCTGTGGTCCTCATGCAACTGAACTACAGTTCCCAGCAGCCTCTGCACAGTGTCAAAGATGCTGGGAATTGGTATTTAATAACAGTTGGAGGGCCACAGCTCTCTCCGCCTTGCCTGAAATGCAGTAGACTAGCTGCTCCTTGCAAAGCGCCCTTAGGAAATATCTCCAAAGCATTATCTTGAGGTCTAGGGATTCATGAGAAAGCTGGAGACAAAGGAAGGCCTAATAAAGTGTTTCCCAATTGTAGCCATTTTAAGATATGTGGACTTCAACTCCCAGAATACTCTAGCCAGG